CCAGGAGTCCCTGTGGCTTACAACCTACGACACTGCACGCCTCAGGGAACGCAGCAGTCCCTTCAACAGATGTAGATACGAACCACCACCTTACACTGTGGAGACTGCGAGCCAGAACTGACTAAAATCCAGCATCCTGTGACAGAAGTTGTGCAATAGCAACAAAGGAAGACTTTTAAAACCTGAGGGCAACTTTCGGAGCTAGAAATGTGAGGTACCTAAGCATGCTGCATCAAGTCAGCAGAAATCTCAGTTTACAGCAGGAGGGGCAACCGCACTTAGAAGCAGCACCAGCCTCGCCCTCCTTAAGCATACTGTTGTTTTTCCTACTGGTCGGATTTCTGGCCTTGTACTGTGAACTCCGTGATGGCAGGATTGTGTCTGTCTTGTCTCCAATAGCCCAGCACACAGCAGGCACACGGTATATCTTTGCTGAATTAGTTTTGATCCGTGGCAGAGGGTCGGGTTCAGTGTTGACAGCGTTAGCAGGCAGCAGAGCGCTGTAATTCCTATCATCCTCGGTAGGTGTCTTGGGAACTTTAGACTCCCTCTGAATAGAGAATGCAAATTGCCACTTGGCTCTGTGACCTATAATTAATCTTATCTCAGTGGTAAACCCATAATTCATGCTGATTTTTATTTTGTTCTTGAAAATGAAAATTGGAAAAAAAAAAAAAAAAGAAAATGAAAATTGAGTGTCCTGAGAAATGAACTCACTTTGATCTCGACACGTGAAGTCAAAGTACAAAATTTCTATAGTGTTTCTGCTTAATATGTGCTGATGGGCATGAAAGAGACACATAGGGTCCCAGGCGTTTGCAAAGGGCTGGGTGGTGTCACGACTAATCACTGTAATCACTTGTGTGTTCAGATACTGGTTCCCCTGACTACAGAGACAGAGTTGTGGAAAGAGGAGTGGAGATCTGATCAGGGGAAGTTTAAATAGAAGCAATCCTTTTTACCAGGGGGGAGGTGGAAGGAATGACTCCACTTCCCGGCTGAGAGGAAGCAGGCGTGTGAACAGCAAGTTGACTGTCAGCCCATCACCTGCACCGCTGTGCTGGCCCTCGTGTGCAGAGACGTGCGGGACGAGGCTCCTGCCTGTCAGGTTGTCGTCCACCAAGGAGCTGGGTTACGTGGCACCACCCACAGCCTGTCATCTGCTCAGCCTGGGACAACGGCACACATTTGGGTGCAAAGAAAGGCTTCTGGGGCTTTTTCTGGGCATGGAGAAGCTCAAAGGCTGCCTGAAGGAGATCACAGCTCTAATATTGACCTTGTTTGCAATCTTTCTACCCACCAGGATAAAAATATCTTTTAAAAAAGAAAGCTTTCAAGAGAGCATTCTTAGAAACCAACCTTCTTAACGACTCTTGTTTGTATATTCCTGGGCCAGCTAGCTCTCAACCACTGTTATCTGCTGGGCTCAGTAGAAAAAGCTGGTCCGTGCTCTGTAGAATCAGAAAAGGGGGAAAGGAGTCCAGGACCCACAAGCAGCATTCTGCAGGCGGAAGGGGCCCCAGGCTGGGCCATCTGCTCCTGGCCAATCCGATTAGTAACTGGGAGGAGTTTTCTTCTAATTGGGAAAGGTAGAGGAGTGAATTGAAGAAAAGGAAATGTCTCCTGTTTGGTGGCTTCGAGTGGCTGTAACTTACCTGTTTGCCCCCCAGGTTCTATGATCAGGGGTGGGAGCACAATAGGAGAACCCCAGAAAGCAGAGCTTGGTGGAGAGAGAACAGCCTCTGGGGAGAGGCAACCTGAAGTCATGAGTCGGCTGAGAGATGCTCTCAACAGGTTTTCTTACGACTTGGGCCATTTCAACCTGTTGATAAAATTAAAAAAGAAACAAAAGTGCTGGGGGATATTTCAGGACACAAGACCTTTGTAATGCTTAGAACAAAAATAGAGAACAATGTATTATTCTTCTAGGAGCTGCTCATGACAGTTGCCAAGAAATCAAGATCAGATGCCTTGGGGGCTGAACCCCTGAGGACCCTGAAGAACACACATTACCCCCAAAAATTCACCAACCCACACACGTTTTCCAGTTTCCCTGCAGAATGCCCCAAGGGAGAAAGTAAATGAAATCTAGAACAAATCACTTGACTCCTGCAGCAGGAAGGTGATGGCTAACTGTTGATCCCCCCTCCAGACCCAGTGCATTGCTCCGGAGATGGCCGATGTTCCCCTTCCAGAGAGGGGGATGCAGTTGTTCTTTGAGTTTCAATTTAAATGGGAGGAAAGTTGCAGTATTAAAGATAGGAAGAAGTTCCCACAGAAAATTTGGGGTAAAATTTTGAAGGTGGAGAAAAAAGATGAAAGGAAGGGGGCCTAGGTCGCAGGCAGGCTCTGTCAGTTGAGTGCCATCTGGCCACACATTGTAAAGCTCTTTATCTCTGCCATCTGGTCTTCAAGTTCTTCAGTGTTTCATGTGGAAATCATGTCGTTGATACAGGCCGGAGGAAGTGCACAGGCTTTCTTCAAACAATACAACCAGAGACCGCCAAGTTCAGGTTTAATTTAGCTGTGTATTTAAATGTATTGACAGTTCATCATCTCTCTCTCTCAAAAAAAAATAAACTTAAAAAAAATCCCTTGGCCTGGTAAATGGTTACTTATGGTGGAGGAGAAGATGTGTGGTTATTTAAAAATCCATCAAGGGCCGGCCCGGTGGCACAAGCAGTTAAGTGCGTGCGCTGCGGTGGCCTGGGGTTCGCCGGTTCAGATCCCCGGTGCGCACTGACACACCGCTTGTCAGCCATGCTGTGGCAATGTCCCATATAAAGTAGAGGAAGATGGGCACGGATGTTAGCCCAGGGCCAGTCTTCCTCAGCAAAAAAGAGGAATACTGGCATGCATGTTAGCTCAGGGCTAGTCTTCCTCACAAAAAAAATAATAAAAAAATAAAAATCCATCAAATCTAGTTGAGGTCCCAGAGAAAGGGGGTGCAGGGAGAGGCTGGACAGCAGCCTAAAGAGGAGCAGAATGGGGTTTTATCCAGATCACTCTGTCAGAAATTCGTATTCTTCTATGAGTTGTGCTTGCATTCTTGAGCCTGAGGTAGGGTTGCGGATGGACACCAAACAGCTAGATAGGGTAGAACTCAGGACACTACCCCAGCCCCTTACACACACACACACACACCCCAGCTCCATAGAGCTGGCTTCTCTCTTGTTGCTGTAGATATTTTTGGCAACAATCAATCCCTTTTAAATTTTCATTTTCTACTTTACAGAAAAAAAGAACCCAACAAACACAAAACTCTAATTACTTGCATGACCTGGTGTTCATGTCTAATCCTTGCCAGTATTTATGTACATAGTCATCAGGGTGAATCTACTACATTGTGTTCTAATTTTTCACTCACTTCATTTTTGTCTTCACATTTCCACGTGTGGATAGTTAAGCTATAGTCACTGAAAGCCCCAAATAGGTAGGAAACATATACTGCCACTTTTATTAGCTACCAATTCCTAGTCCTCCTCCAATTGTTGGATTTGAAGGGTTAGTGTCAGGTCTTGCAGATATTTGAATGGTGGTAGCAGTCATCGCTGGACATCTTTTCCATCCCTGGACAGAAAGGTATAATGTGATCTGAGCTAAGCAGAAACATGTTTCAACTCCCAAACTGTTTCAAGAGTTTGAAAAGTTCAAGCCCAGAAGAAATGAAATTAGCTGGAAAGTCTTGGCTCCTTACTACTTTATAACAGGCCATAGGTGTAAAGTCCAAAAGAGCTTGAATTTCTACCCCATGTTTGACGTCTCAGACCTCGATCCAGAGAGCTGAGCTGACTCGCCTGCATCCTGGCCCTCAGCAGCAATACGAAGGCGTGGCGGCTGCAGCCCAGCCCTCCCCACTGAGGCGCATGGGGACAGAGTCACCAGACACGCGGGCATCCGTAACCTCCGAGCTTCTCTCCCTCGCTCTTCCGGCATGGATGAGAGGTGCCCCTGCCTGCCCGCTGTTACAGAATAACAAGTGGATTAGCCTCAGGAGTTGCTGGGGAGTGGCAAGAATGAATGGTGAGCAGCAGTGCTGTTTAAGGCCCAGTCAGACTTGCAGAGGCATAATGGGAATGCAGAAAGCCGAAGATGGACTGGACACACCCAGAAGCAGCTAGAATCTGCCCCAAGGTTTCTAAGAGCTGGGCTACGAAAGGTGTGAAAAAGTCTGCAGCTACGGAGCTAGGGGTGCCTTGCAAAGGCTGGCCTTTTCCCTTCTCTCCCTTGCTCTTTTCCTTTTTAAGTCGTATCTATAGTTGGTATAAAATATCCTTTGAGTGTTCATCTTAAATGATAGAGAGGACTGTCCGTTATCTATTTCCAGGCAGAAACTGTTTCTTTTGTGTGTGTGTGTGTGCGCGTGAGGAAGATTAGCCCCGAGCTAACATCCGATGCCAATCCTCCTGTTTTTGCTGAGGAAGATTGGCCCTGGGCTAACATCTGTGCCCATCTTCCTCTGCTTTATGTGGGACACCGCCACAGCATGGCTTGATAAGTGGTGTGTCGTATGTCTGCAGCCCAGGATCCAAACCCGCGAACCCCCAGCTGGCCCCTAGAAACTGTTTCTTTATTTCTTATTCTTTTCCCAGCATAGCATCCAGGACAAGGGAAGTGCTCTGTGAAGCTTTGTTGAAGTAAGTCCTCTTCTTACGTTCTTCTGAGTTACTGGTAAACTCCAGGGTGGGATTCCAGTCCCTCAAAGTGAAGTCAATACTTCATTCTTAAATAGAGCCTGTGCAAAACCTTGGTGATTTGCTGTCTATTTTTGTTTTGTTTTTGTCCTTTTCAAATTACTTGATTATGATTTGATACCTTGTATAGGTTGGAAGATGTTGTTGCTTTTATTGACTCTCATGGAGCCAATAGGATGTCTCATCTTTAACAGAAACAGTTGTAATCCCATTAACAATGTGGTTTAAGATATATGATGAGTTAACACCAAAGACAAGTAAAATGCCTAATTCTGTTCTCCTTTCTTCATGTGCCTTTCCTACAGAGCTCTCAATCCTGGTAACCTAAAGCTCTGAGGAGGTTCACAGATCGGAGCACCAAGAATTCAGTTCAGGTCCTCAGCAGATGGGCATTAGGATCATCTACTAGCCAGCAGGATGGAGACCACGCCCTTAAATTCCCAGAAGGAGCCGTCAGCATGTAAGGATGGAGAAGATTGTCAGGAAAATGGAGTTCTAAAGAAAGGGGTCCCTGCCCCTGGGGATAAGGCAGAGTCCGGCCAGATCTCCAGTGGGTACTCAGCGGTTCCAAGCCCCAGTGCAGGCGACGACACTCAGCACTCCATCCCGGCTGCCACCACTGCCCTAGTGGCTGAGGTTCATCAAGGGGAACGGGAGATCTGGGGCAAGAAGATGGATTTCCTCCTCTCGGTCATTGGCTACGCCGTGGACCTGGGCAACGTCTGGCGCTTTCCCTACATATGTTACCAGAATGGAGGGGGTCAGTATCGTGGGCCACGAGCAGAGGCTCTGACCCGGGGTGGTCTGTAGATCTTCTTGGGAGACCAGAGGATAAATCATGTTTTTTCTGTCTTGTTTAACTGATAAGAGTCTGGAAACATGATTGCTTAGACTTTCAAGCTAGTCTAAAAGACGAATCTCCAGTAAGCCAAAACTTTATAAGTCAGCGTGTCTGAGGCAACCTGGGTTATGAAGTTTCATGAAAGCTCTCCCAAACCAGACCTCCCCAGATTACCAGCATCTTTAGTGCTTCATTTGTTGAAGAGCCCCCTTCTCATCCCTGCGTTATCCAAGCTCCACTCTCCACCAAGTGAGACTAGAGGGATGGCCATCAGCACTGTGCTGTGCTTCTTCACTCCTGCTGGCAGCTTCCTCTCAGAAGAGTCCAGAGAGGTTAGACCTGTGTAAGGAAAAATTGGGAGGTGGCTCTAGGGTCCCAGACCCTCTTGGGCCTTTGGACCTGGGTGAGGTCAGAGAAAGGCGTCAGCTCAGGTCCAGAGTCTTAAGTTACAATCTGGGCATGATCCAGAGCTGAACACAGCCTGACATTAATGCCAACCCCAAACCATACATGGATATGCCTTATCTCTGCTACAAGAGTGTTAGATCTTAGAGGCCAGAGCCTATTTCTTGTTCCTCCTTCTACCCCTAATGCCTCCAGAGCAGTTAACTTGTAGATTATCAAAAATTTTGTAGCTGACTGTAGGCATGGATATGGGAGCCCCAAAGAGTAGAGCAGCGGGGAGGAGTGAGTAGGTCTGGGACCTCTGAGCTGACACTGAACTTGCTATCAGAATAGGAAAAGGATGAGAAATAGGAATTAAACAGGTCAATATTTATTTTGACAGGCGCTCTGGCAACAGATGTCGGAGGGCAGCTCAGATGAGGTTTGGGGGATAATTCCTTTGTGTCTCTCTCATTTCCTCCATGGCCTGACACAGAGTTGCCTGGATTTGCTGCATCTTTTAAGGACTTTGGTCTGTGCAGCTGCAAAGGCAGTTCCAGGGGGGCCCTGGGGAGCCCAGCACTCCCTGCCTGGGAGGAGCGGAAGTTGGAATCACCTTATCTTCAGCTTGGGAGGACTCACCTTTAGCCTGAGCATTATAGAAGGGGCTGCATCACCAGTGACGGCTCTCCTACATTCATTCCCTACCGTAAAGCTAGTCAAGTAAACCCTTTGGGCAAATGCCACCAGGGGAACACAACGTGGTTCTTATTCTCAAGCCAGATTTACCCACCGTGATTGTAAGATGGGGTCTTTCTGAGTTGCACTGACTTCGGGTTTCTAGGTTCAGAGCACTTTATGGAAGGGAAAATTATCGAAGATCACAGGTGACCCACCCTTTGGGCTAAAACTCAGGCTGCAGGTGAGCAAGCCCCAACTTGGCATTTCTAAATTCTGCCTCAGCCACGAGAGCCAGGAGACACCAGCATCTCCAGCGATGCAGCAGCTCTTTGCTTTCTCATTCTGTGACAAACTACCCTTTCAGCCACATCTGCAAAGGTGGCTCAGGAGGGAGCATTCTGGCTCAGTGGAATTATGGAAATACAGCCAAATATCAATAATCAAGTGTCTGGATCCAGGGATAATACAATGAACAAAGATGCTAATTCAGTGACTCGTAGATTATTGCAGCTGTTGTACAGGTTGTCACAGGAGATCTGTTCCAAGGGGTCCAAACACTGGTCCCTGTACTGGTTGCATCAGAATCACCTGGGGAGCTTAAAAAATTTGTGTTATACCCATACGTGGAGCTTCTGCTTCAGGAGGTCTGGGCTGGTGTGTGTTTTTAAGCTCACCAGTGATTATGATGCCTGGCTGGGTTTGGGAACCTCAGCTCTCCTCAGCCCTGTCATTTTATAGGGGAGGAAAGAGAGACTCAGAGAGAAGTAGCCCAGGGTCCTCCAGGCAGTTGGAAGTGGAACTGGTCCCACTGCTTTTTCTGTTGACTCCCAAACCCAACTTTCTTTCCATTACTCTCTGGCTCCTCCAAAACCTTGCTTTCACTGGGGAGCTCTGTCTGCTGCTACTTCTGCCAAAGCACTAAGACCAGGGAGCACAATGTGAGGTCACTTGGCATAGGGTGGCTTCATGACGCTCAAGCATCAGATGGCTCTGTGATTCTCAGCATGACCCCTGGTGTCCAGATCAGTTGGGCTGTCCTGGGACAGATGTGGGAGGGAAGTGAAATTGTCTTTCATCTGCCTCAGGGGCGTTCCTCCTCCCCTACACCATCATGGCCATTTTCGGGGGGATCCCGCTCTTCTACATGGAGCTCGCACTGGGCCAGTACCACCGGAATGGATGCATTTCAATATGGAGGAAAGTCTGCCCGATTTTCAAAGGTAACTGAAAGGCTTGGGTGGGTGTGTGAGTGGGTCCTCCGAGGAAGTGGTGATTTCCATCACTGGTGGGAGCTGGGGACCTTCTTCTGGAATCAGTTAGGCCTTAGGGATCCCTGGGAGCTAACTTGAGTAATTAGGTTTTTGACTGCTCAAGTGGTATGAGATTGTTAAAGGGAAACAGAACAAATGGCAATTAAAAGTAAACTAAATAGAAAAATTTTAAAGCATTAACAGCACACACACACGTTTTCTAAAACACAACCTTGCAAATACATATAAGGAATCTACCACATGGCCACTTTTCCACCATCTCCTGGAGTCTTCAGGGACTGAAATGAACGGCAGCACCCACCTTTACCCCTCACCCTGGCCACAGTGCCCTCCAGTGTCCTGTTTCACTCTCTCACTGTTGGGCTGCCCTTTCTGCTTGGCCTCTCTCCCCCTCTCTCCCCCAGGGATTGGTTACGCCATCTGTGTCATTGCCTTTTACATCGCCTCCTACTACAACACCATCATGGCCTGGGCGCTCTACTACCTCATCTCCTCCTTCACGGACCAGCTGCCCTGGACCAGCTGCAAGAACTCCTGGAACACTGGCAACTGCACCAACTACTTCTTCGAGGACAACATCACCTGGACACTCCACTCAAAGTCCCCTGCAGAAGAATTTTACACGTAAGTACATGTAAGTGAGGGGGTGGTCTGTTAGGGGCAGGCCACACCCCTGGGGCTTGGCTTCTTAGGAGGGGGGTGGGGGCGAGGGGCTAGTCACCTCTTTCCTGGTGGATTTCTGGGAGATGATACTATACAGGCCGGGGGGAGGTGTGTAGGGGGTACAGTGAATGTGAGTGAGGGAGTGGCAAGGCCAGCCCCAGGCCAGATTTGAAGTTGGGAGACTCTTCCTTGAGTGCTCCATAATCTGGCCCTCTGTGCCATCCCCCTCCTTTCTGATATGCCATTCCAGGCTTCCCCAACGTGCCCAGGCTGACCCCTACCTTCACATTCCAAAATTACTCCCCTGCATCAAAACTGCCCTTCTTCCTGGGCTCTCCTCTCAGCCAGTTGTCACAGAAGCAAAGCCTCCTACTACTTCAGTAGTTTGAAACTGTTTAAATAGCTTCTAGTCTCAGTTCACTTCGGATGTGGGATTTACCCTTTGGAAGAAGATGCCTGGAGTAGGTACTATTCTTTAATGGTGGAATTTCAGGCAATGGCAGCGCCAAGAGAGAGCTGTTTTGGGGTGTGGAATGGGCCCACTACCCACACATACAAATCCTCATGGACCCAGAAGCCAGTCGTGTTGGTCATGCTTCCAGGTTGGTCAGTTCCTAGCCAGGAAAGGAGAGGCCTGGAAGCCTGCCTTTGGGTTGAGCACTCTTCCCAGGGTCAGCCGGCTGAATGTGCTGCTCTCTTCTTCAGGATAGGCAGAGCCGGTCCCAGCTCTTCCTGAGGCTTAGTGACCACTTGGTCCGTGCAGCACAATGTCCGTTTTTCCTCTTGGCACCCTCCTAGAGGTGTCACAGATAGGATGCTCAGATCACTGTTCAGACCATCTCATGGGCCTTTCTTTCTCTTTCACTCCAGGCGCCATGTCCTGCAGATCCATCGATCTAAGGGGCTCCAGGACCTGGGGGGCATCAGCTGGCAGCTTGCTCTCTGCATCATGCTGATCTTCACTGTTATCTACTTTAGCATCTGGAAAGGTGTCAAGACATCTGGCAAGGTGAGGAGGACTCTGGCAGCTGATCCAGGCCTGCCAAGAAGCTCCAGAGGATCTCAAACTCAGAACTCAGAAGCCTGGACAGCCACAGACAGGGGGGCATTGTTTCCTTCAACACTAACCACATTCCATGGTGCTTAGTCTCTCTTCATCAAATCTGTTAGAAAATTCTAGAAATAGGCCAATCCCAAGAACTATTATATGATTTTTTTAAATTCCTTTAACCCATTGGTAGTGTCACAATTAATAATAGTGGCAATAATTTATTGAAAACCTATCATGGACCATGTTCAGTGCTTTGTGTACACTGGCTACTTTATTGTCTCCCACTGGAGACTTTCCCCATTTTACACATAGGGGTGGGTTTAAAGGTAGTTAGTTAGTACCAGCAAGCAGTGACTCAGATCCTGTGTGATTCTGAAGGCCATGATCTTTCTGCCACATCATGCTGCCTCCTGAAATTACAGAAAAAAAAGAGGTAGATCTCCTTTCTTGGAAATTTTCAAGAATAAAAGGCAGCAGCATCCATGCAGTGATATCCTGTGTTTCCTTCCTTACAGGTGGTATGGGTGACAGCCACCTTCCCTTACATCATCCTTTCCATCCTGCTGGTGAGGGGGGCCACCCTCCCTGGAGCCTGGAGGGGCGTTCTCTTCTATTTGAAACCCAACTGGCAGAAACTCCTGGAGACAGGGGTAAGATAATGAGATAAATGGTGTGCATCTGTCTGTCATTTCACTAACTGAAGCTAGTCCTCTGAATAGGACAGTAGGAACAATTGAAATTGGGGTTCAATGGCAAGTCTGCAGTGATGCTGTAAACCAGAAATACAAGCATGAAGAGTACAGTTGAGGCCACTGGATTGGTTTATGCCTAAATGATAGGAAGAGAAATCACGTCTGTTTGCACTTGTGGCCAGCCCTGGAGTGAGCCTTGAGAGCTCGTTTTTCGCCTCTGCATGTAGCCATGTGGAGGCACAAGGGTGCTGACCCTGCTGCTGCCCAGCGGCGGCCTGGGTCTCAGCCCTCACCCTGACCTCTGCTGTGTTCCAGGTGTGGGTGGATGCTGCTGCTCAGATCTTCTTCTCTCTCGGTCCTGGCTTTGGGGTCCTACTGGCTTTTGCTAGCTACAACAAATTCAACAACAACTGTTACCAGTGAGTATCTGGGGCTCCCCCAAAGCTTGAAAGTGGGGTGAACGTAGGCCATTGAACTGATGGCCTCAAACCTGGCTGGGCTCAGGCTGTGTTGACACTCTGACCCTCAGGGGTGCCACAGGTCCCTGACCAATTCACTCATGGCCATAGCACCCACACAGACCATAGCCTCACCTGGGCCACTCAGGGGTTGAGAGGGGCCCCAGGCAACTTCCGTTTTGTGAGAGTCTCTGTATATCAAAAAAAATTAAGAAATTCCAAAGCAGGTTTACAAAAATTGCAACATATGTTAAATGTGTGGATTTGACTTGTTAATGTGTTTAACAACAAAAATTGTAATGTGATAATTTGTTTATGTATATATACACAAAAAGTATAATGATTGAACTCTTTTGACCAAGACAAAATGCCATAGTTTTTGTGGCAAAATCTCATTTCAGAAATTTTGACGAAACAGGGAGTGTTGCACTAATTGTGATTTAAATATCACTCGTCATCTTTAGAGTTAACTTTGTTTTTAATATTCTATCACAGATGGCAATGTCAAGCAATTTGTGCTATTCATAAGATAATTATAGAATTTATTTTTTTTAAAAAAAGGAATTCACATACACCCTAAGCAATGTGGCCTTGCATTGGGACACCAGCCTGAAGTTATATGATGAGGTCTTCCTTTAAAAGTGTCAGGATATCTCCATGGCAGTTTTGTGACCTCATTTGCACATAATGTCAAGAGTCTAAATCTGAGGACTTCACAAATGTGAGGCCAAGGCCCCCTCCTGGCCCCCACTCCAGCCCAGGCCCTGCTTCAGAGCAAGCCTTGTTTGAAATTGAGAGGTCTGTGCTTTGCTGGTTCACAACAAGACCATCTCTTAAAACCATTCCTGACCTGCTGTTTTCCCCCTGCCATGCGTGGTGATAATGGCAGCTTGTGCTTCAAGGCTGATCCAGCCAGTCTGAGAGGCTGGGCACTGGGAGGAGGGGAGGGGACTCCAGGACAGGCTTGAAATCCCTGTGAGCTCAGCCTGCTCACCCTTGCCACGGCTGGAGACAGATGCTCCTTAGACTCTCAACTTGGAAATATCTCAGCCCCCTTGGGTTTTCTGCTCCAGAGATGCCCTGGTGACCAGTGTGGTGAACTGCATGACGAGCTTCGTTTCAGGATTTGTCATCTTCACAGTGCTGGGGTATATGGCTGAGATGAGGAACGAAGATGTGTCTGAGGTGGCCAAAGATGCGGGTAAGTCCTCGGGTTCTGTTTAGGTCTTTGCTCCCACTGAATTGCTTTGCTGCTCTTTGGATCTTTACAAATATCTAACTTTTGAATTATTTCTAAATGTTCCTTTTAAAATTTTCAAAGATTTTAGAGATACTTACTGCCTTGGAGATCTCAACCTTTCCATGTGTTCAGGCCATGGTGGGGATGGCAGCTCCCTTGGCACCCAGTACTGGGCCCTTGAATACACTATGGGCTTGAAAATATGACCTGGATGATGGCTTTTAAAACAAGTGGGTTTGGGTCCTGTGATGGGTCCAAGTCTAGTAAGCAAATGATTACTAATCCTTAGAATTTCCCCTTGCAGAAAAATAAAATGTAGATGACATAGTCACTCTACTGTACTGTGAGGTTTAATGGAAAAAGAGTGACAGATGTTGCAAAAGAGGTGCTGGGATCTTGTGGATGGAGTCCCAGGGCTTTGTGTGAACATACTCCTGTCTTTGGCCTGATGCAGTGCTCTGATCACCATCATACCTCAAACTAAGGCAGCCCTATCTAGCCCATGAGAGGTTGAGGACACTCACACTATCACACTATCAAAAGGGACTTTAAAATAGCGGGAGGTCTTTATTCTGAGGCCTATATGACTCTTCTGAAATCAGTTTAACATTTCCTACTGTTCTGGAGCTAAAGACATTAGGGAGAGCTAAGTGCTATGGGACTGGAGAGATAGCAATCCTGGCCTTGAAAAAAAGCACTGAATTATCATATAGTGGAAACTCTTATTCTTGTATGCAGCTTTGCTACTCTTAGGGTCTTGGGTTTGTTTCTATTCCCCACATTGGTTAGGGTATACACTTTTCAAGATGGATACTATCCCTCCCTGCCTCCCAGGATGTTGGGATGGTCAGGTAAGATGGTGTGGAGTGTGAGGAAGCATTTGGTATGTATCAAAGCCTGATTCACATGTAAGGTTTTGTGATGAGAATTGTAATTGTTGGTGTGGCTGAGTTTTCCTCTGAGACATCTTTGTAGGGCAGGTCTCGGCGAGCACCTCCTCCTCTCTCTCTCTCTGTCTCAGGCCCTAGCCTCCTCTTCATCACATATGCAGAAGCCATTGCCAACATGCCAGCGTCCACCTTCTTTGCCATCATCTTCTTCCTGATGTTAATCACACTGGGCTTGGACAGCACAGTGAGTGAATGGGGAGGGAAATTGACTCTGGGGAGGAAGGAAGAGGAAGAGGAGGGGGAGAAGGAGGAGAAGGGAGGGGGAGGAAAGAGAAATAGGGGAGGAGGAGGAGGAGCGGGAGAAGGAGGGGAAGCTGTACCCATTCCCTCCCATCCTGGCCACCCAGGCAGTGTTGGCTGCTCCCTCCGGGTGCTGTCCCAACCCCTTGTTCACGCCTCAGCTACAGCCTTACCTCCCTCTAGAACATTAGGGAGTCATTTATGGGATAATGAGGGTAAAATCCCCGGCCATAGGCCAGGGCTCAGCATATGTGAACTGTTACTATTATGCACTGTCCCTTGACCAGATGTTGGCACCTAAAGACCAGGGTGAGGTCTCTTGTGTCTCCATGCCCTGTGGCCCAGCATTCAGCTCAGCACCTTGCACTTATTAGTGTGGAATGAGTCTCAGCTTTGAGTTGGCCTTTCTGGAGCAACCAAAGTCTCCCCAGGAGACCTTACATAAAGAGTCTTGTGCTTGTCCATAAAGAGCGCCGTATTTTCTTTCCTTGATGTCCTTAGGGATGGGTTCTAAATAACAGTGTAAAACAGGGAGATATATTTCCAGTGAGGTGAGTAAGGGGAACTGGTCATGATCAGCTTGACTGGTCACTTGGCAATCTTAACCCCTCCCTCCTGTTCACTGTCCTAGAAGGTAAGAGATTTGTCCCAAAGCCTCCACGGTGACCGTTTATGTGTCCCTCGCAGTTTGCAGGTTTGGAGGGGGTGATCACAGCTGTGCTGGATGAGTTTCCGCACATCTGGTCCCAGCGCCGGGAGTGGTTTGTGCTCGGTGTGGTCATTACCTGCTTCTTTGGATCCCTGATCACCCTGACTTTTGTGAGTACCACAACCCTCTGCTTTGAGCCAGCCTCCCCTAGGGCAACAGAACACTACAAGAAGCTGTTCCTTCCCTTCCATCCCACATGGTGCCCTGGCTTTGGGGCCAAAGGAAGAGGGGTTGTCACTGCTGTTAAAAAGTTTGTCATCAAGCATAAGAAGAAAAGTTGTTTCTGGCAGCCTCTGTTTGTAGAATTGTGCATGGCATCTGGAGGCTCTGAGCACGTTACAGTAGATTCAACTAGATTTCAGCCTTGGCAGAATATCTGGAGAAAAACTAAGGTTTGCTTTTCCAGTCTATTTCCAGTCTGTAGGGCTGCTTTCATGGGACTAGTGCCCTGATGTCCTGATTTGCAGGACATGTAGAGGCTGGCATCTCATGGTCATAATGTCATTTTGTCTTCTCCAGAGTACTTGCAATGGTGAAGAAGAAAGACCTTCTCTGGTGATTTTTTTTTTTTTTTTTTTGTAGCTGAGTCAGATACTGTGAAACTGTAAAATGGGCATCAGATAGTACCCACACACATCCTAGGCTTGTGTGCTCCTGACTCAAGGCAGATTTTGCAGATATGCATCTTCAAGCCATGCCCGCACTGGCTCTGGAGCTTCAGCAGGGTGTTGGGGTCCTGAGTAGGACACAAGGAAGTTGTGAGTTAGGACAGAAGGCAAAATCGTGACCAGCATGCTCAGTGTGTCTCTCCCAGATTCAGTCTTTAGGGATCGGGATTCTCCAGGGTAGAATATACAGTAGGTGTTCAGTAAATCAAAGTTGAAAACAGATCCAGAGGCCCTTTTGAGTTTGTCTTTTAAAGCTTAGTGGGGAAAGGAAACAAGAAGAGAATGCTGTATAGGGCGGGAAGAGGCGTCTAACAGGATGAACTCTGGCCCACACTGCAAAGGCCAGGCAAGGAAGCAAGCTCTGGGATACTTATATTAGGTTCAAGGTGTGAATTTTCCAGAATTATCCTAAGTTAAGAAACTCCTTTTGGCCCCTATCATAAAAAGCAGGCAGTGCCTCAAAGGGCCCTTAACTAGGTTCATGATCTTATTTCCAGGGAGGGGCCTACGTGGTGAAGCTGCTGGAGGAGTATGCCACGGGGCCCGCAGTGCTCACTGTTGCACTCATAGAAGCAGTTGCTGTGTATTGGTTCTACGGTAAGATGCTTCCTTCCGCCAGCCACAATCCTTTCTACACCAGCCCATAGGCACTAGAATAAAGAAGGGCTGATTTCATCACAGGCAGGGCAGTGGACAAGATGGCAGGTCTGTAAAATAATCTCAGCTGAGTGCCTTCTTCAGAAACAGGTCATTATTTCCTTCGCACTCTATACAACAGATTGCCCGTACTCTTGGAGGACATTTTTTCCTTCTGAGTTTAAATGTTTACCCAGTGGAGACAGGCAGAAGCGGTTCCATATAGCTCATCCACAGTGGATGCTTAAGATCCTAATTGGCTCTAAGAACTGGACAGATAACAAAGAACTGGTGCACAGAGGATGCATCTGCAGAGTGTACAATATACTACTGTTAAATTTCACAAGCAAGTGCTCCTTCCAGAGCCCTGAGACAGAGCTTAGGAGCTTATCTTCTAGGGAAGAGGCAAGAATGTTCCTGTTTGGATTATCTGCCTTGGTAAAACCCCAATTCACCCCTTTTGATCCTAGGGTGGAATCTGATAAGGGTGAAACCACCAGGAGCGCAGAGAGTGAGCTGACGTGGGTCCCTCGGCAGGGGTGCCAAGAGCCCCTGGGTGGGGATGGGGAGGGCACAGGCAATTGAAATGAAGAAAACCAGGTCCAGAGATTCTTCTCTTCATTTTTAAAATCAAGAAGTGATTATTTCATTCTGAAAATGTATTTATTTTCCTAGTTTCTATGATAATAAAACAGCTGTAGCGTGTTTGTCATTACACATAATACGAAGAAGGGGGGCCCATATTTTGAGTTGCACGTAAGCCTAGTTTTTTAAAAAGAAGTCCTCCCCACCTCCTCAGCAATCCAGAGGACCAAGTTCAAAGTGTGTGAATTGCTTTAGACCTGCCCAAGGATTGCTGGGCGCTCTCAGGGAAGCAACTGCAGAGCCTCCTTCCTTCCCCTTCTCAATTTTTCACCAGAGTTCTCAGTTCTCACTTCCATGCCAGTTACTTTTTATAGAAGAACCTTGATCTTTATCTGGCATATGAATGGGCAATATCATGGTTACAATTTTCTCTTGAAAGTTTCCAGGATATGGTCAAAGCCAGTCTGTCGAAGGGTTCACCATTCCTAGACAAAATTCTATTTTCTTTTCTATAGTAACAATAAGATCAAATATATGCTGAGATCTTAGAAAGGCAGTGTGGGCACCAGACGGGGCTTTAGGTCCCTCTCCAAATGTCCACCAGTCCTCCCACTCTGTGTAGAAAGAGCTTTGCTTGCTATAAAATGCAGTGTTGTGACAAGTCCCCCATCCCACTTTCAGACCAGATTGGTGCCCCTGAGCCCCTCCTATGGAGAAATTCTAGAGCTGTTACTCTCTTTGAGGATCAAGGGATAGAAGGACAGTCCATGTCCTCTCTCAGTCCACCAATCTCTTTCTCTTTCGGATGGTTTTAGGCATCACTCAGTTCTGCAGTGATGTGAAGGAAATGCTTGGCTTCAGCCCTGGATGGTTTTGGAGGATCTGCTGGGTAGCCATCAGCCCTCTCTTTCTCCTGGTGAGTTGTCATTTCCCTTCTCCTTCTGGCCTTGGAGAAAGATTCACCCTCAAACAGTTACAAAAAATAAACTTTATTGAAGTGTAACATATATACAGAAAAGTATGCAAATCATAAATGTACATCTCAATGAAATTTTATAAGTTGAGCCCACTTTTGTAGCCAAAGCCATACCAAGAAACAAAAACATGACCGGCACTTTAGAAGCCTCTTGTGTGTCCCCTCCCAGTCAATATACCCGCTATAGGTAACCACTCTTCTGGCTTCTAACACCATGGGGTAGTCTGGGCTTCAGTCACTTGATCACATCACTCCCCTGCTCAATGATAATGATTAATAACATTTATTAAGCATTAAGTGGCAGGCCAGACTTTGTGCTAAGCTTATACCCACTGCTCTTTGAATGCTCACAACAGTTCTATGAAGTAGTTATAGTCGCATTTTACATTTGAGGAAATTGAGGCTCAGAGAAGGGTCCAAGGTCACATGACAAGAACTGTTCAAGACCGGGGAAGGATTTATTGTGCTGCTCATGAAGTCCCCGGGAAGGTCCTGGTAATTCTGTACTCATTTTCTTAAAGACGCCCCACACAAAGGTCCTCAAGTGTAGACCTGAGTCAAGAGTAGCATCCACTCGTTGCCAAAGGACCTGGGTGAGAAAGTTCCATTCTGGGGGGTGCCTGTCTGCCAAGATGTGTCCAGCGTTCACTTCGTCTTTGCTGCACGTGCCCCTGCTTTCCTCCTGGCATCCATCCTGAGCGTGCTCTGAGGTCGCGTGGGGTAAAGTGACTCTGTGCACATCAGCAGGGACGACTCTCCAGTTCTTTCATTTATCTGTAACTTTATTTGGGGGGAGTTTTTGATCTTTTAGAGAAAGAAAGGTTGTTAGACTGCCCCTTCAGTCCAGCTCCAGCTTATGAGGAGTGCCTGGGCCATCCATTTGGTCTTGGGACATCTCTGCATTTGGCATACAGCTGTGCCCTCCTCCTCTTTCAAAATAGCCCCTTTTGTATTCTGTTTGACTTTCTCCAGGCAGCCCTTCATTGTTTGTACTTTTTGTACCCATACATCAGGACATTAACTTATGATGGACAGCGTGCTTATTCTTGCCTCTGCAGTGCTGCAAGTGTCTCTCTCTACCCTAGAATCCCTCTTTGACATCCATTCCCCTGTACCCCGGAGGTTTCCAAAACCAAAGCCAACCTTTGCCCCACGCAGCAGATATCCTCAGGGCCCGGTGGCTCTGGTGTGTGCTCTGGCTCCAGCATTCCCCTAGAGCTTGGCCTGGTAGTTCCTTATTACCTTATTGGCTCACTGGTGCTTTTAGGTCAATTAAAAACATCTATTTTTAAATCCAGAAGTTTTAGTTGTTTTCACTGAGAAGGTTGGTCTGAATCACCTAGCCTGCCATTACTAGAAGCAGAAGTCCCGATATAAATGGATTATTAATATATATTATTACCAGTGCTTCTCCATAATCTACTTAAATCCTTTCATTTGTTTTTCAAATGAAGAAGAGACATTGGATTAGTTCCTTGAGGGAAGAAGCCATGTTTATTTGTTCATTTACTTTAGTATTCCCCACACAGTGAGGAAATGATGTCCAGGACTGAGACTTGGGGGAGGCAAGTGAGGCACACATCATGGGCATAAAATTGAAGGGGGTGCTAAAAAACTCAGTAACCAAGATGAATACTACTTTTTTTTTTTTTTTTTGAGGGAGATCAGCCCTGAGCTAACATCCATGCTAATCCTCCTCTTTTTTTGCTGAGGAAGACCGGCTCTGAGCTAACATCTATTGCCAATCCTCCTCCTTTTTTTTTTCCCCAAAGCCCCAGTAGATAGTTGTATGTCATAGTTGCACATCCTTCTAGTTGCTGTATTTGGGACGCGGCCTCAGCATGGCCGGATAAGTGGTGCGCCAGTGCGCGCCCGGGATCCGAACCCTGCCACCAGTAGCAGAGCACGTGCACTTAACTGCTAAGCCACCGGGCCGGCCCGTGAATACTATTTTAATGCAATATTTTTTAGTATTTTCATTTCTGTGAACTTCTGGATGTCTAGCAGACGGGGTGAATTCTTGGTGTACATCAATGAGTTTCTATGCCTAGGAAAACCCATGTACAGATCTGGGTTCAGGTGCATTACTCATATTCCTGTGACATGTGCTTTACTCACTTCCTCTAAAGGCGAGTGCTCCACTGCCTGATGAAGAGGAGGCAAATCTGTCTTCCACTTCTGGGGTTACTTAACAGGTCCCCTGCTCTGGCCTTTTTAAGGCTGCTTTAGGTAAACAACCAGTAGCTTACTAAAAAGATTCCTTTTCACTGTAACCAAGTGACAAAAAAAGAAAATATTGTATATGAGCAAGAAAAGGCTGGGACATGTAAGGGGGGCTCTGGTGCAACACTTACTGGCTATAACGAGAGCTTGAGGCCTCCCTGAACTGTGCTGGATTTCACACACCTGACATCAAGATGAGGACGAGTTACCGCAGGGATGGTTCCTAATCAGACTCTCTCTTTCCCTGTTCCAAAACTATCTTTCTTAGTAGCTGAGTCTGGGGGTGAGGAGAGTAAGTCTGGAGAAAGGTTTGCAACTGGCCGGGCTCCTGTTTTGAAAGCTTCCTCCTGGACTTAGGATAACACTGTTCCAGAAGATGGATGTGTGTTTAACGGTTTTCCATTTTATTACCTGAAGACAAAGAAAAAAAAGATATAAATAGATATTTAACCACACAAATAATTTACATTACTGTCTTCTTTATGACTACGAAATAATAAAATTAAGTCAAGAGCAATAACGATTTCAGCACAGTGGTTACTAGGCAAAAACTGATATTTATGCTCTCTCTGGAAACCAAACTGAAATAAGAAGACTCATAAACCAAGTGTTGGGAGCACACTGTGGAATTTTTCTTGGTCGAAATTTTCACTGATTTTTCAAGTAAAAAGTGTATTAAGGTGCTTTTTCCTTCCGTTATTCCTTTCATGACGAGGGCCTGTGGCAGGTAGTCGTTCATTGCTGAGATGCCTCATTGAAACCCCAGGCTAAGGCGCTTAATGCAGAAAGCGGAATGCCCAAGAAAAGGGGAGAGAAGGAACACATATCCAGGAGGCTGAGTCCTCTCCAGGTCTTGAGAACCTTATTATTAATCTCTCCTGGACATAGGTACCTTCCATCTGACAAAAAACAATCACAGCTGAGAAGTGCAGGAAGAAATAAAAACAAAGCAGAGAGAAATCTGAAGCCCCAAGACTGGCAGGGGCCGTGGACAGGTCACCCAGTTTATTCCTCCACTGTTGGCAAGACAAGGCCCAAACCAACCCTGATGGATGCCAGTCTTTTCTCCTTTGCCCTGAAGGGGGTGCTGTAACTCTCCTAAAAAACGTTCTGAGGCCTTGGCACCTCCACAGTAGAGTTTGAGGTGGGAGTTGGGGAGGAAAATCTAGATTAGCAACTAGCTGTTTTATTGTTGCAGTTTAGGCACAGAAATTAGTGACTTCTGTGTGTCAGAGTTCAATCTAGGATTTATCACATTTTGGGAATTTCCCGAAAGTATCATAGCTTTAGCATTTGGTGTTCATGATATCAGAACTGCCTCTATCTGCATGGATATCGTTAAGATTTTTAATGTTCTTGGAATTTCTGTTTTAGTTCATCATTTGCAGCTTTTTGATGAGCCCGCCACAGCTACGACTTTTCCAATATAATTATCCTCACTGGAGTATCGTCCTGGGTTACTGCATAGGAACCTCATCTTTCGTCTGCATCCCCACGTATATAACTTATCGGCTGATCATCACTCCAGGGACATTGAAGGAGGTATGTGCTAGTGTGTGTGTGTGTGTGTGTGTGTGTTCATACTGGTAATTATTTGGGGAGAGAAGGGTTCCCTTGTTATGCTCTATTCAAGGGAGATACGTCTAACACATGAAATTCACCAGGAGGCTCTCAACCTTATATATTTATATACCTACACCATGGTGTAGACCTCTAATAGCTGCCACTGTCATCTTAAGGCATCTCCCATAAGCCTCACATACAATGGTGAGAGTGAGTTGGTCATGTGCATGCACTACAGCTCGCAGCTTGGGATGTGGATAGCGTTCTAAACTTATCACATAACTACTTTGCCTCTTGCTTGCCACTGGGCATGGACATCAGATTGGTGATGTCTAGAGTGATACACAAATTTTGATTTAAGTGCAGATTATGGTGGAAAATGTTCATGGTCATTTTTCTAACAGCAATTAAATAACAAGGGCCATTAGCAAATAATATAATAATAGGAAAAAAATAGCAAAGGCTATTTTGAAAATCATCACTAAATAAGGATATTGCAACAATATCATACTTTTGGCTCAAACCATTAGAGTAAAAAAAGTTGCCATTATAGCAAGATTCATTTCAGTAATGAATAATGTGCTGTAAAAATTTTAATAACAGAACCTTACAATTTGTATAAGATTGTATGTTTTTCAAAGCATCTTCATGTAGGTTATCTCATTTTGTTATCAAAATACCTTATGAGGTGGATGGGCAGGTATTATTAGCAGACAAGGATACTGAGGCTGGGAATAATCCTGCTCAGAATTTCCTTCTTTCAGTGACTTGTCCAAGGACACACAGTACAGGGAGGCTCAGAATCCAGGTCTCCTGATTCCTGGTCCAATGCTATTTTACTTTTAGGTGCAGCTTCTCTTTTGTCCTCAGGGTATTAATAATTTGCTAATGTACAAATTGGCGCTAGAGGTTAGGGAGAGATGAGTTGCCATTTTTCATCCTTCAGGCCACCAGGATTCCCAGCAGTGTTATCCTTCACATTACCAGAATTGAAAATGCTTGAGTCGTTCCTTGTTTGGTTGTGTTTCTTGCCATAGCAAGAAGGTTACTGAGGCAGAAGAGCCTGAAGAAGTGGCCACTTACATGTCTGTAGGTGGGCACATTTGTAGGGTGCTTTTGTAGCTCAAAGGTGAAGAGTGGTATTTGGGGAAAGCTAGAAGGGACCGTACTCTACAGTGACCTGAGAACTGAGGTGGGCTATTCTGTGGGCTCTTAGAAGCAAAACTCAAACATGAGACCATCACACTCATTTTTCTAAAACATTTCATAAACATGAAGCAAGAGAACATGAGGCAATTAAACATCAGCTCTTTCTGAGAACAACTGAGTTCATTTCTTTTTCTAAATAGAAAAACTGAATTCTAGGTGAACAGAACTCTGCAAGGAGTTACTAATTTCCTACACCCAAACCAACCTCATCACAACCTCATTCCTCCCTAAGGGCCTTAGACTCTGGTGGTGTTTGAAATACACACTCACACCCAGGATCATTGAATTTGCTCCTTCAGGTTGTCCTTTATGGCAGTCATGATGGTCCACTGGCTCTGGATTCAAACCCAGAGGCTAAGGTCAGGGTGGGAACTCTAGTTAGGTTAATAAATGTCAGTATTCTTTGGTCACAGCCTGCACTGCAAATCATGGTCTTTCTTGCAAATTCCCCTTGCTGGCCACAAAGAAATGCCACCTAACGATGTATAAATCAGCAGAGCTTAGATCCATTAGTAGTAGAGGTAAGGCTGATTGCAGGGCCATCTTTACCACAGGACACCTTAGGGGAACAGTGGGTTACCAGGAAGCATCATGATACAGCCAGTCAAGGGGGACTGGGAGGGAAAAGACCTAGTCAGCTATGGCAAGTCACTCACCTTCTCTGGGCCTTGGTTTCTTCATCTTTAAAATGTGTTCCTTGGACTGGATTAACATTTCCCAAAGTGTGTTTTGAGGAGAAGTAGTTCCATGGGATATCAATAGGTATTACTGCTGGGGGGAAAGGTTATGCAGTCAAATAATTTTGCAGAATGCTGGATTAAGGCAAGCTAAATAGGTTTCTTTACTATGGGACTTCTCAAAAGCCTTAGTATGCCCATGTGCATGCTCAGTCTCTGAGAGGGATAAAGCATACCATGTTTTTGCCAAGCACCCCAAGGGACTATATATTTCTGTGAATACCAGACTTGATAGTCTGTAAGATTTTATCTATGAGAGAGGGAAGCCTCATATGAAATTTTGTTGTGGTTAAAAAAAAAAGACTAAGAGAAAGGTAAATTTCTTAAATCTTTTGGATCCTAGCCATATATAAGGTTGGAGCTTATGGAATGAGCCACTACTCACTCACCTGTAATTTGGTGGATATCACATGCACCTGAAGCCTGGAAGTCTCAAGGTTGGAGTCATCAACTGGATTAGGTCATTGTCACAGAAGCCCCTAGTAACCTGCACAACGATACTGGGAAGATGGTCCTTAATAAGTAAGCATTCACGAAGAAGTCAACAGTGATCCATTTCTTAGATTATCACCTTGTAGAAGGCCAGGGCCTGGCAAATTTTGAGAGCAATAGTAATCTGGTAACTGGAATGCTGCCAAACTATGGAAAACGAAGATGGGCCTGGCCTTTGGGGAGATCAGCAGACACAAGGGCAGCAGAATGGGTGGGTGGGGCTAGGGCACAAAAGCCAAACGTTCTGCTTTACAATGTTGTTCATCGTGGGCCTTGCCTCCACCACACACCCTAGTGCTCTCTTCTCTCTCTGTACAACATAGCTCCACTTAAGACTAGTTGGAGTGATCTGTGTCCAGTTCCCAATTAGCAAGACATAATTCTGTTTAATCAGTTGTGGGTTACATATTCATCTTTGGGGAAGGATGGTTTGTGAAATTTTGCTTTCTATGACTTCATGTGTCTGGGTAGCTGATGAGCACTGCAGCAGCTCCTTTTGAAATGGATTTCCAGTGTGAGATTTCAGTACTCGAATATTAAGGTTGTCAGGAACAAAACATGTACAATTTTGTGAATTTCATTAACTATGAGAATGGAACTTTTTGAATTCCATAGGCCCTGCTCCTTAAAGAAGAACAAACTCCCAGAACCAGGAAATAAAAAAGGTTGAAGGGGACTACATACTTTTTCAATCCAAAACAAAAAGGACAAGTAGCAGAGCTTCACCTAAAATCAATAAATCAAAAGATGCTTTCAGATCCAACTTTGCCTGCTTACCATACATACAGACTTTTGGCCATCAAAGATTTCACTAAGCAACTTAATAAAGATTTTTCTAAGCTTCCGCAGTGCTGCTGTTTTTCCTTCTCCACATCCCTGAGCTGCTTCATGTCACCCTGATGCTCTTTTACAAGGCGGGTTGTATATTTCATACCCAAACCCAAGCATATTTCAGATCTGTCTTCTGTGTACCTCAGCTGTTTCTAAAGTAAAAATTCTCAGCCTTTGAGTACTATGTCAACATAAGATTGTTTTAGGAGTGATGATTTAAATGGTCACATCTTTTAAAATTTAATTATGTGATCATTTGCCCCCTTGTATGAACTTTACAGGTGGATTCATTACATCAGAACATCCTGTTACAGTGGCTGATGGCACTGTGCACCATGCCTATACTGTGTATACAGGGCACAAGGAGCCTGGCTGAGGGGAGGGGTCCCAGAATCCGGCAACTTACTCTGCTCCCCAAGCCCTATGTGGCCACAAGAAGCCGCCTCTGTCCAGAAAAAGAATGCCCTTTCCCAGGTCATCAAAGGCATGTTATAGGCCAGGGGAGGTGCTATTGAAGGCTCATCATTTTCTCCCATTAGTATTATAATGACTTTCTTAATTAGTTTACAGATGCTTATAGTTCATGAATATACCGTTTTTATCCATATTTGAAAACTAATAAATTGGGAATTCTTTTCTTAAGGAAAATCAATGAGACTATTCCAACTTACTATTAAATACCATTAAAATGCTATTTAAATTTTGTTTTCATATTAATATTGAAATATTTTTGCAACACTGTTGCAAGAATTACAAGAATGTTTATAATATATTTTCTCCCCAACAGCGTATTATTAAAAGCATCACTCCAGAAACACCAACAGAAATTCCCTGTGGGGACATCCGCCTGAATGCTGTATAAAACGCTTCAATGAGAGGAAAATGGCTTCCCAACAACCTCTTCCTCCAGTTGACAAGTCACACCTCACCTTCTCCCCTCTAAGTGAATGACTTTCCAGCTAAGCCTGACAACGGAAGGGCCTTCTTCATAGAGACACAGTTCCAAAAGACTATGGTGCCCAGACTCTTATGTCCTCCAGCCACTTCTTTCTGTGAAATCTCCTGGACATATTACCATGTTCGACTCTGTGACACAGCTGCACTGGCCTACTTTGGATGTGTGAGGGTGATGAAAACCACGGTATAATCAGTTAGGATTAGGTTTAGAATCAAGTCTGTGAAAGTCTCCTGTATCATTTCTTGCTCCAATCACTGGTGTCTGACATCTGTTTGTTTTTGAAGGTTTCACTGTTCATGAATACATAAACCATGTAGGAGAAAACAGGGATGCTGTCTTGCTAGCTATATATTTTCTGAGTAGCATAGATGTCTATAGCTGGAATCTCCTAGAACCCTGTAACCTGTGGAGTCAGGAAGGGAAGATGTAAGAAACTAAACTGAAAAATAATATGTATGTGTGAGTGTGTGTGTCTGTGTATACTGTTGTTTCAGTGTATCCTTATCTCTATTCTAATACTTTAGGCCCATTATAAACTATATGAATTTCCTCTAATTTTTCTTATATTAACAAATTCCACGTACTCAAATGTGTATGTATGCTATTATTTGAAGGTTATAATTACTACAACATGCTGTGCCACCTCCTCCTTTTCCAGTGACACTGCTTAGGCCACACACTTTCCTTTATGGGCCAGCCTTTAGCATTTGCTGCACTTCATTGCCATCTTCCTATCTCTCTGCTAAACAGTCAGGATAACACTCCACAGGCAAATCTGGCCTATTTCATTAGTCACTGTGGCTTGGCTGTTAACTACTTGGAAGATGGATATTGACAAATGTGTCTTCAGTGTTCAGTTGACTATCTGGTTTAAGCTCTGTCTACTTCAAATGACTGTGTTTGACCATTGAGGTTACTTTGCTTTGTGAAGAAAGGATAAATTCTCACTTATAAGGGTATAAGATCTGGCACCCTGACCTAAATTAAGGTCATCCTCAATCCAAAAGTAATTAGAGAGTCTGAGTTAGCCTTAAATGGACCTCCCCCAACCCCTTGATCCTTCCTGGTTGACTACCAGGGTTGTGAGCCCTCCAGATAATTTTTAAGATTGAGCCTAAGTAAGACTGATTGGAAAAGGGTCAGTTAAGTGAAAAATCTTTCAGTCTACATAAAGCCCTTAAAACAGATCAAGTAAATTTGACCTTTGGTGGCTTGTGACTCAGAGGCATAGGTAGAGAAGCAAATTTTACCTTGTAGTGTGAGATTTCCTTATCAAAATCTTACAGGGAATAAAGTCTAGTCAATGATAAAAGGACTCAATCATCTGGCCCCATGTCACTTCAGTCCTCTATATAAATCAAACTTAATTCTAACAACCTTTTAGAAAGACGATCCATATAGCAGAGGCCTCGTTTTATCTAATTATAGATCATCCTCCCTTGGCTTCCTTTCCCCAGAAATCTCTGCCCTGGCCATCTTCCTGCATTCCCCCTACATCCTTCTATTTCTGATTCTTTGCTTTTCCGAGTGAGATATTTTCCTTATAGATGTTAGCTGCTGAGAAGTTTCCCAAAATATTAAAGTAAAAGAGAAGGGGGATTAAAAAATGTCGCTTATTGGGGCCGGCCCCATGGCTTAGCGGTTAAGTGCACATGCTCCACTACTGGCGGCCCGGGGTTCGGATCCCAGGCGCGCACCGACGCACCGCTTCTCGCGTCCCACATACAGCAACTAGAAGGATGTGCAAATATGACATACAACTATCTACTGGGGCTTTGGGGTTGGGGGGGAAATGGAGGAGGATTGGCAATAGATGTTAGCTCAGAGCCCATCTTCCTCAGCAAAAAGAGGAGGATTAGCACAGATGTTAGCTCAGGGCTGATCTTCCTCACACACACACACACAAAAAGTCCCTTATTAACCTGTCTTCATTATCTTCACTCTCATTCCTTCTTGCTACCTTATTTCCATTCTCTGCTTTCTAGCATGACTAAAGGAGAGGTTATGTAAGTGGCAGCATGTATATTCAGTAGTAAATAGCTTTGCAAATTTGAAGAACGTGCTTTATAAAGATACTCGGATATGGATTCTTCTACACTTATGCATTCTCCAAAGATAACATTTTTATTTAAAAAGCACTTTTTCCAAACAGAATTAAAGTTTTGCCAAGCCAGGTGCTAAGGGAATTATATAGGTGTTTTGAAAAGTTTTCAAAGTTCACTGGACTTAAAAAAAACCCAAAATCTCTGTTCTGCACGGTTTGCATTTACTTGACCCCTATTTATCAATACTACTATGAATTTTTTTTTTAAGGAAAACTTAAGAGTAGGTAGATGGACTTTAAAATAACCTTTTAAAGAACTTTTACATCTAGTAAAAAATAAAAATAAAATAAAAAGTAAAAATGGAGTTGAATTGTAAAGTTATTTAAGTACTGAAGTTATTATTTATTTATTTTGGCTGTGATTTTATTAGTAAGAGATACCCAAGGAATAGGCAAGACACAAGAAAAGGGCATGCAGGCTGTTCACTTGATTGTTTCCTATACTGATATGCAATGAAGTCCAAAGAATTCATCTCCCTTCCAAAAAACTTACAACCCATTTAAAACCTATTCCACGCATATATGACTTGTAACCTAAATTCACTGCCCTGGCTGCCCCATCTGAGAAGGATGCAACACCCTGACACACCCAAAGTCAGTATAATACTCCAAAATAAAATAATGAAAATCAAACCAGATAATGAAACCTCAAAATAAGGCAAAAAGTTATTCTGACATGAGTCACTCCCTCACCATCCTCTTTACTAAGCTTGTTAATTTAGTGCCACCAATCTCAAAATTTAAGCGTGAGTATGTATTTTCATTTAACTCACCCACCCCACCCCCACCCCTTAAAAGGGAGTTTATTCTCCTGGAATTAGAATTGTATTCTTTCTGATAAGTAGGGAAGACTGACCTGATATGTTCTATCTGTTGTACAATTGATCTGGAGTTCACTGTCAAAGGAAGCTTAAAACTATGGAATGCAATGGCTTAACTGTGCTGTTCTCACACATATCTTAGATAATGCTTAGGGACGCAATGGTACAATCCAAGTTTGGTTCCTTTCTTAGCATATCTCTTTACTCATAAATCAACACCTGGTGCTTAAGATATCAGAATTGTTCAGGATGGTTGTCTTCATTAAACACAGCAGTAATCAGAGGGCATTTTACACCCTTCCTTTTTTTGGTCAGGGAGGAGTAGGGAGGAGAAGCAGTAGGTTCCTCAGAGATAGACTGTGCTACAACCTGTCATCCTTATAAGTAATGTAATAAAAGCAAAATAGTCCTATGCTAAGTGGGAAGAAGTTGTATATTTGAAAGTCATCATGGAGCTCACATATCATTTAAAACACAAGAAGAGTTACACAAAAGGCGAGGAAGGTGAGCTTAGAAAGTGCTTGCTTGAGAAGCACATTAGAGAATGAAATTTATAAATCCAAATATGGAAAAAAGAATGTTAAGACAGTGAATATCCCAATACTGTAGAAAGCTTTTCTGGTCCACTTGAAACATTCTGGCTTCTAAATTTTTTCTTCAATATCAGTTATTTAATATTTATTAAATATTCAATATTTATTAAAATTTGTCCTGTTTAGTTCCATGGAAGAAATATTTCGAAACTCTAAATCTTTTTTTTCTTACTTTCTATAGTATCACTCTTTCCCTCATTGCTTAACTGTCTCTAAATTTTCATGATAGAATAGTATTTTAAAGTTCAGATAACTACATTAGAGGCAGAGACAAACCTAGTCACTAAGCTAATTTCTCTGCTCTTCTTGGGATCTGGAAATTTCTAAGGGAAGGTGAGTTTAAGTTTTATTTGCTCTACTAGAATGAAATAATACACCTCTCAATTGGTTTAGAAGGCATTTACCACAATGGAAAAGATAAATATTTTAGGGTGGAATCTTAAATATGTCTGTCATGTAGTTTCATATAGTTGGAATCTATTCGGTATTGTTTCTACATTGGGTGTTTCAAAACAACTCACATTTTCAAGAGAAGAAGTCTTTTTTTGGAAATGATTCACAGTATATTTTAGTTGGAATTTTAGGCAGTATTTCTCTTACCAAGACATCACAAAATTCATGCCAAACTGCTCTACCATCAATGCAAGTTTTTTTTCTTAAACTGTCAAATCAGATTTTCTTCACTGGCCAACTCTATAAAGTATTTTTTTATAATTTTATTTATTTATTTTTTCCCCCAAAGCCCCAGTAGATAGTTGTATGTCATAGCTGCACATCCTTCTAGTCGCTGTATGTGGGACCCGGCCTCAGAATGGCCAGAGAAGCAGTGTGACAGTGCGCGCCCGGGATCCGAATCCCGGGCCGCCAGCAGTGGAGCGCGCGCACTTAACCACTAAGCCACGGGGCCGGCCCATGGCCAACTCTAATTTGGAAACTGTGTGCATCAGTGGAGCACCTCATCAGAAAAAACTTTTAATGCTAAATAAGAAGCTTATCATTTAGGGGAGAGAACAGATGGTATCAGTCCTTCAACTCTGTAATCGAAGACTCCAATTATAGCAGATAATCTACTTCTAGCAATCTGTAAACACTGATAGTCCAAACAGCAAATATTTGGAGAGGAGTTAGCCCATCTTCATGCTAAAATACCATAAACAAATAAAGAGCATTTGCTAATTTTTAAAAAAAGCTATTTTGAAAGGTTATTCTTATTCAAACTAATATTAGAGATGTACCTTATCTTAAAAAAAACTTACATAAAAAATGCATATCTTAAAAAGATAAAATTAGGGACTTTAAATAAAAATTTGCAGTTATTTCCCCAAAGGCATTTAAAATATGATTTGACTTATAAACAATTTTTCAGGATACTTTGTGTCTTGGACATATCAATAAGGTGCTTCAAATTCTGAATGAATTATGGTTAATTGAATTATATAAATGGTATTTCTTTTTTTTTTTGTGAGGAAGACCAACCCTGAGCTAACATCTGCCAATCCTCTTTTTTTTTTGCTGAGGAAGACTGGCCCTGGGCTAACATCCATGCCCATCTTCCTCTACTTTATATGAGATGCCACCACAGCATGGCTTGACAAGAAGTGCATCGGTGCGCGCCCGGGATCTGAACCGGCGAACCCCGGGCCGCCACAGTGAAGCACGTACACTTAACTGCTTGCACCACCAGGCTGGCCCCATAAATGGTATTTCTTTTCCCTCATCTTTACTTTCTTCTTCCACGTAACTTGCAGCTAAGAATAAGTAAATTTCTTCCACTATTCTCCTCTATCAATAATAATATGAAATTTTCCAATATTTTTTTATCTGAAATATGTTCATTTTTAAACGTTAGTGGCAGAATTAAACCTAAGTTTTATTTGTATAAAAGTAAAGGGTCCCCTCTTTAAGATGTATAGAATGCCCCTGCATTCATTTACGCAGCAGTTTAATCATTGATGTTCCAAGTTAGATTGTGAGATATCAGCAAATGCCTTATGCTGTGAACTGTTAATGTAATAACTCAACATCCTGATGTATAGATTTGCACTGTCTCATAAAAATAACTTCCAAACTCTTAAGGTTAAAACAAAAATTTTAACTGTACAATGTCAA